GACGAATGAATTATTTTTCTTTCTTTGTGTGATCTACAAATTGCTGTTTCTGGTTTGAGTGTCATGTGTATGTAAACTTGTATATTTGTATACGCACTTACAATTCAGGATAAAATGCAAACTTGGTATTACGTAAAAAAAATTGATAAGGGATTCGGGGCCCTTCTTAAATTTAATATCGTGTGCCGAAGGACCCCAGCGCAGCCTAATACGGCGCTCCGTAAGTGGTCATATTATTTATCATAACATTTTATCGACTACTCAGTCTAAATATAGGGATTACAATTATAAATACTATATCTACATTAGTATATACAGAATAACAAATTGTAATATAATAATTATCTAATGATTATAGAGGTAGATATCTAAGTATTATAATCAATCAATCAGGTATTTTTCATTTTATCTTGTTTTGATAGGCTCTTATAAATTAGGTACATATTAAGTATCACCTGGGTAGTATTTAATATATAGGTTTTCATTTATCTATATATATAAAAGAAAGTCGTGTTAGTTACACTATTTATAACTCAAGAATGGCTAAATCGATTTGGATGAAAATTCGTGGGGAGGTAGCTTAGAACCAGGAGACGGACATAGGATACTTTTTACCCAATTTTTTTTTTTTACTTTTTACCGAAAATCAAGAACGGGAACGGGAAATATCGGGATTGCGCGTACGAAGTCGCGGGCAGAAGCTAGTTATTTATAAACATCACGATTTTCAATATCTGATGCGCAAGCAAAATAAGACTCAATGACTATTTGAAAAATACTTAATTTTGAAAACTTCTTTGTTACCTAATTAGCTTTTATTTTCGGAAAAAATTGCCTATATTGGAACCGAGTTAGTTAATGAACTTCCTTATAACAAAAATAATATGGCCTAGAGCCTCTGGTAGGGCGTCAGGGGGCTCTTACAGCTCTGTCTACCATAAAATTTTCGTTGGACTACCTCGTTGGCCGAGTGACCGCAAGTATGACTGCCGGGCAAGGGGTGTCGGGTTCGATTCCCGGGTCGGGAAAAAGAATTACTTGGCTTTTAAAAATTTGTTAGTAGTAGCACGGAGTCTGGAATTGTGTCCGGTATATGGCAATAGGTTCACTCCCTATTACATGAGACTCATAACATAAATACTGAAAAGTGGGTGTTACATAGTACAGTGGCATTAAGTGCCGTAATGTGCACCTCTGACTACCACTTCGGGGATGAAAGGCGTGATGTTATGTTACGTTATGTTTTGTGTTTAAACAAAATAATTATTACACACATTATACAAACGGACGATACGTACAGTTTCAAATCTTGTACGATTTTATTATATGTATGTACAGATCGCTCAAGTGGTCTAGCAATTGTCTAGTGGTCACATGAATGACACGAAGTCCTCGTACTTGCAGAACATTAGTAAATACTGGCGATAGTCTGAAGTGAAGATAACGTCAAATAACAATAATTAACGATAAAACAATCTTTAAAATTAGCCACATCATCCTTAGTAGTCAAGTTCTTTCTTTTATTATTATAACGTGGTTAATCAACTTGTTACTTAACTGTTCCGCCATGACTTTGCATGTTTGTAGTCTTTGTAGATAAAAAAGGATTTGTTTTGAGTTGATTAGGCACTTAGTAACTGTTAGTAGAGGTTATTTGATTAGTTTTAAGTCTAGTTTGGGACTCATGAGGATGCAATGACAACCTTAAGGATAACTTATCTTATATTTTGCTCTGGAAGGTACCTACAAGCGAGATACTGTTTTTTCGACACACTAGATTTTTCGTTCGTTATGGGTAGGTAAAAGAGGTGGATTCCTTAAATCTTGAATCATATTTATACTTTGTTATCAAATTGTTGTCCTATATCTGATATGTTATATCAATAATTTCAATAATGTATCTTTGTTTTGAGGGGTATAATCATCCAATGACTTCTGCCGCCCGGGTGAGGCGATAGGGAGTGTCAGACTCTTACTGACTAAACACCACCCCGTTCCTACTCCCGCACTTCGAGCCGGAGCCCCGGCAACCTGTTAAGTTTTCGGCGGCTCCGTAGCGGCATCAGCCCTATTGGGCCCTATCTGTGGTGGTCTGATGGCTCCTTGAAAAGCGCGCAGAAGGGGACGCGCTGTACGCTCGGGTCTGGTTCTGATCGGGCGACGAGTCACCAGCCCCGTGCTTACGCTGGCCGGAGATCGTCTCCTGATCCCCGACGCCTGGGGTGTCTAGCGCGACGGCTGGGGCGTGAGAAGATCCGTTCCCTCACGCGCACCGCCTCCTCCTTAGCTAGCATGTCTGCTTTGCAGAAGGAGGAGACGGTATCCAGTCCCCCTCGCTCGGTACCATGGTCTGAACCAGAGCCGGACGCGAGAGGTTCCCGCAGCCATGAAAACACATGGCCTCGGACTTATGGAGCGCCACCTCGAGTCCCAGTTGCCGGATCCTTGCAACGACTGTCGTTACCGCTCTCGCCATTAAATTGGCTGCCACCTGATGCGACCTCCTGTGCGCTAGCTCTAGTGTGTCGTCAGCGTAGCAGACCACGCTGACGTCGTTCAGGAGGTTGGTGCACAACACTCAGTCATAGCCGATGTTCCACAGAAGCGGCCCCAAAACCGAACCCTGTGGAACACTAAGCGACACCTCTCGCTGGTTCAACTCACCTCAGTGACCGGGGTAGTTGACTGTCCTGGACTGACTGGACCTGTCCGGTCCGTCAGATTAGCCTTGATTATATCGAAGTGCCTTCAAAATGCAGCTCCAGGGCAGGGAGTTGAAGGCGCTAGCGATGTCTATTGACACCGCCACTACGACCTTACCCCTGGACACTGCGGTTCCCGTCGTGAGGTCTCTTACGCACATGATGGTGTCCACCGTGGAGCGCCCTTTGCGGAAGCCGAACAGGTCCGGCCCAACATCCGACAGGTGCGCGACGAGGCGGTTCGAAGTAAACCTTTCCCACCTCGTCGAGCAACACGATGGGCCGAGTCAATAATGTACCTATTTTCGTATCGCACATTTTTTGATGATGTGATAATACATAACATAACATCACACCTTTTATATCCGAAAGGTAGAGGTGTACATTACGGCACTTAATGCCACTGTACAATGTAACACCCACTTTTCACTATTTATGTTATGAGTCCCATGTAATAGGGGGTGAGCCTTTTGCCTTATATCGGTTAAAATTCCAGACTCCGTGCTACAACTGAGATTTTTTTTTTAAACTCAGTATAATTTTACCCGACCCGGGAATTGAAACCGAGACTCCTAGCCCGGCAGTCGCACTTGCGACCACTCGGCCAACACTATCCCTATACATATGTCGCAGAGAACCTAACTGGTAACCGGGGCTCCGGCTCGACGTGCAGGAGAAGGAACGGGGTGGTTTTTAGTCAGTAAGAATCTGACACTCCCTCCTTCCTCACCCAGGCGGGAGCAGTCATTCGATGATTTTCCTCCCTTAAAAAAAAATGTATATACATATATAACTCTACGCCTGTCTCCCATGGGGGTACGTCGAGGCTATGAAACACCAATTGCTGCGATTCTTATATACCTCTTTCACTTCATTAACAGGAATTCTAATTATTCTTTTCATGAATGTCTTTTCCTTCTCTGTCGTATCGCTCTTGGCAGAGCGGTCGTGGTCACGTTGAGGCGGCCGTATTTGTGTTGGTGGCCGATACAGCTTTCCTCGCGATCTCCCGCCATCTTTCTCTGTTTGTGGATTGTCTGGCGCAGTCTGACACTGGGTTTCCCGTTGCCGATTTGACTTGATCAGTCCAGCGCATAGGTGATCTGCCTCGTGATCTGGTTCCCTCTACCTTACCCTTTATTTCGCATACAAAACATATATTTATATAACTGTCCACATTTACATTATTTTATAGTAACTATATATAGTTACAACATAGTAACTATATAGTAATAACATGTTATTTGCGTCGAAAAACAAAAAACATTCCGAGCAGCGCTCCACGATAATACATTGGAACGTTTCACGATGACTGGTAGAAATCTTAACAGATTTACTACACGAGACAATTAGGGATACGCAGACAATCATTTTAGATTAAAAATAAATTACTTGATTTCAAAAGTTGGCTCAGGCCCACAAATTGTTGTTCCGGGTCTAGGTGTCATGTGTATGTGAACTTGTATGTTTATAAACGCACCCACGATACAGGAGAAAATCCTAGTGTGCGGCAACATTTTTTTTAAAAACTATTTGGTGGCAAGCTTCGTTTTAATCATCATCTTTTTATCAGCCACATGACTGTGAAAAATCATTTTCGTTTTCATGAATCTTCCTTAAATTGTAAAAAACCCCTATATAATAATATGTAATTAAATTTAAATTCAAAGATGACTGCCTCGTTGGCCGAGTGGTCGTAAGTGTGACGGCAAAGGGTCTCGGGTTCGATTCCCGGGTTAGGCAAAGTATTACTGGGTTTTTAAATATTCTTAGTAGTAGCACGGAGTCTGGAATTGTACCCGGTATATGGCAATAGGCCCATCCCCTATTACATGGGACTCATAAGATAAATACTGAAAAGTGGGTGTTACATTGTACAGTGGTATAATGTGCACCTCTGCCTACTCCCCCGGGGATAAAAGGTGTGATGTTATCTTAATTCAAAGATCTTATTAAAATTTGCACAATACTTTAGTTTTATTGGAATTTTGGATGCAGGCCAAAAAGGCTGTTTAAAAATACTTTTTAAAATTACTATGCCTATAGAGGTAAACATAATTAGAGAATATTACTTATTCGCTAAGAAAAATCTTTTCAAATAATAATATCAAAATAAGTTACTTAAAAAAAACAAACTATTACTTCTATTATCTTTTGCCATAATCAACAAAAGAATAAGGAAAAGTCCTAAAGTATTAATAATTCCTTGTCATCGTTGAGTACGTACATAAGTCATTATCTACTACCACACTATAAATACCGAAACGAAGTACGCACAATTATCACACGCCTCCAAACATGATCACGCTGTATCTGTTGCTCGCCATACCACTGGCTCTGTACGGGGTTTACCTCGTTTCAAAACGAAAATTCCGGTACTGGGAACAAAAGAAAGTGCCACACCTATCACCAAAACCAATTCTAGGAAATTTCTCCGAATACATTCTCCAGCAGAAATACTATGGACATGTGGAACAGGACATCTGCGACAAGTTCCCTGAAGAACCATATGTTGGCTCTTACTTTGGCACGGAGCCGGCCCTCATCGTACAAGATCCTGAATTCATCAAGACTGTCATGACAAAGGACTACTATTTCTTCAGTGGCCGTGAAGCCTCTGCATACAGTAAAAATGAAGCGTTAACACAAAACCTTTTCTTCACTTATGGTGACAGGTGGAAGGTACTGCGCCAGAATCTTACGCCTTTGTTCTCATCCGCCAAGATGAAAAACATGTTCCACTTGATCGAGAAATGTGCCCGTATCTTTGAGAACATGATCGATCAGGATGTACAGAAATGTAAAGATATTGAAGTACGAACCCTGACGGCAAAGTTCACTATGGATGCCATTGGAAATTGTGCTTTTGGAGTTGAGACCTGGACCATGGTAAAGACTGAAAATAATCCATTTACAAAAATTGGTGATATTATCTTCGATACTGCCAGGCTGAGAGCATTAAAGGTTGTGATGAGAAGTATTTGGCCAGCCATCTTTTATGGTTGTGGAGGTAAATCACTCCCCGCTGACGTTGATAACTTTTTCTACAATTTGATGACTGGTATTTTCAAAGGACGTAACTACAAGCCGACACCAAGGAACGACTTCGTTGACCTCCTATTGAAGTTCTACAACAATAAAACGGTGACTGGAGATAGTATGAAAAACATGAAGGGTGATTCAGAAGAGAAAGTTACTTTAAAGGTGGACGAGGAGTTTTTGATTGGACAATGTTTCCTGTTCTTTGCTGCTGGGTATGAGACGTCAGCAACTACATTGAGTTACACTCTATATGAGTTGGCAAAGAACCCGAAAGCTCAAGAGTTAGCGATTCAAGATGTGGATAACTACTTGCGTCGCAACGATAACGTGTTGAAGTACGAGTGTGTTACCGAGTTGCCTTATGTGGAAGCTTGTGTTGATGAGGCTCTCCGTCTATACCCAGTGCTGGGAGTCCTGACTCGGGAAGTCATTGAGGACTATACATTCTCGACAGGATTGAAATTGGAGAAAGGACTCCGCGTACATTTACCGGTGTACCACATGCAACACAACCCTAAATACTTCCCAGACCCAGAACAATATCGACCGGAGCGGTTCCTGGGTGAGGAGAAGAATAACATCACGCCGTACACATACTTCCCATTCGGCGAAGGACCTCGACTATGTATCGGTAAGTTTTATTTACTGCCATATTTTAGTATAATAGCTTTTCAGGAGTACCTCGGGGTCTTTACATTTGACCAATTTAGAATCTTCTACATATGTCTATAGGTCTAGTTTTGCCTTGCCAACAACAAAAACATAGATCAAACAATAAAAATTAAATGAATATTAGAGACATATGTTATTGAAATGACTAAGCAGTATTTTACATAACACGCACTCGTCAATCAAGATAGTAAAGCAAAATTAAGATAAAAATATATAAGATATTAACACTGTTGTCATAATGAAGCGAGTAGATATAATACATAATATATAATTTGTAAACAACAATTGGGACCGGTTATTATAAAGTCGTGATATACGTTCGATTTTGTTACTTAGTACTTAAATATATTTTCTATGAATATAGAGGTATTATAGAAGTTGGATAGAATTATATATTAGTATCCCTTAAAAAAATTTTGCTACAAGAGATAGTTTAGATCTTTAAAATCCTTATGACTTTTTAATTTTGCCCTATGAGTGATTAGAAAAAGTTTAAGAGGTCACAAAGTCAAAGTTTTTAAACTCTTTTAAAATAACGCGATCTCAAATCTAACAAAAAACTTGTACTTGTACGTCACAAACAAATATAAAAACTGTAATAATATTTACTCCTAGATACTTACTTAAAAAACGTGAATATAAAAATAGGGACTCATATGTATACACACTCAAACCTTGTTTTAAAATATGCATCAATTAGTTTTATGAAACTGTCCTGCAAACTTACCAAATAAGTACCATTACAATCCCAAAATATTCAATGTTTAGATAGTCATTCTACTAATAAGAAATAATAAAACTTCTTGAAGATCTGTACACTTGTTCAACCGATAATGGCACTTTAAACAAGCTTTCTAGATTTGTTTTTGGTTTTATCAAATCCATTTTAATCAGTCAAATCAACTGTATCTATGCTACACTATCAGCAAAATGACATTTAAAGCGATAAAACTCAACGTATGATCAAGATTATCATATGTTTGATATAATATATCTATTGTTATTGTAATATAAATTCACATTTTATGAAAAAAAAACAACTTCTGTCTGTAGCAACTAAATCGCTGCTGATAGATAAGATTTGAAATTGGCAGTAGGTACATAAATTATTTATTTATTTACACTTTTTGCACAATGGGTAATGGGTACCTATATATATTGGCGGACTTAATGCCTAGTGGCATTCATAAGTTATGTGAAATAAAAAAGCCTATTTTATGTTTCGTGATCACAAACAATATTGTATACATAGATGCGTTCTATTTGTTTAGAATTTAGCACGATTTAGAAAATATTTTTTCAGTACAGCTTCGTCCCTCATATCACGTTAATCTCAGAAAGTATCAGTTAGAATTGAATTATATTTTAGCATTTGATAAGCTACTTCCTACGGAAAATTGTTAATTGCATTACAGCAGTGTTCAAATTTAGAAAATAGTCGGTAACGATGGACTTTCTATCTCGTTCTTCTCTACTAGATTTTGTCTGATCGTGCTGGCCTATTGATGCCAAACACAGTACATATAAAGAATTATAATTATGTTCTATAAAGCCGAAGCATAGCTGTTCCACGAAAAAAACTTAGTTATTATCATGAACTCATTAATAGTATTTAAACATAATATTTATTTACATGAAGATAAATAGTAGTTATCTCATCATATTTAAGTGACTGTTATCAGAGAAATACTATCAAAATGCTCGTAATTACAGTGACCTTAAAAAAATATCAAAACATTATGTATATAGTATATATTATGATATTACAAAAATTCATTCATTTGTCCATTCAATTTTAAATACCTAAACCGAGTCGATTTTTCAATAATGGAAAGCAGCATGGTACCTGCTACAACCAATTAAAACAATAGAGTAACCTCTTGTAACATATCATAATTGACAAAAAAAAATATGTCACATAAGATGAGTTTTTATAGCATAAGCCGGTAAACTAGCAGATGTATCACCTGATGGTAAGCAATCGGCGCCGCCCATGAACACCCGAGACACCAGGGGCGTTATAAGTGCGTCACCGGCCCTTTATCGGCCGGGGATTAGGAATTGGTAGATTGTTGGGGATACAGGGGTTTGAGAGAGAGATCTCCGATCACTCACACGACGAAACACGATGCAAGCGTCTTTTCACGTCGGTTTTTGATGGTATGCGTTACTTATCTTCTTTATTTTCTTTCCAGGAATGAGGTTCGCAAAGATGCAGATAACAGCAGGAATTATAACGATACTCAAGAAATATCGCGTCGAACTTGCACCGGGTATGAGCGAGAAACTACAATTCGAACCGCGGTCTATAATCACTGCACCTATTGGAGGTATAAGACTGAAATTCATTGAAAGAGAGGGATGGCAACAACGAGTGTTTAAGGCGCCAAGTGAAGCTTAAGTTATAATTAAGTAAGGCTAATATGTCATAGGCCTAAGTGAGAATAAAAGGGTGTACTAAGACAAGTACTTAACACATTCACTGCGTTACGGCAAGTATCTGGCCGTATTTGATTCTCAGCCAGTGCGGTAGCTCGTTGTCCTTGTTTTATGTACTGTGCAGGGGCGATTTATCTAAGTTTCCTTGCGCTTTTTGGAGATTTTGAAAAATCTCTGTATCCTTCAAAGTATAACAGAGAACCCAGGGCGACTGCAGCTAGGTACATACAAGGATATAGTCTATCGATTTGTTGATAAAAACCATTGATATAGGCGGTTTCCACGTCTGTATAGGCTTTGAAAGTCAGGGCCTGGTACGGCAAAATAGAAGCCGTAACGCATATCAGGAAACAAAGATACGGGCAGCATTTGTCTCGTATCGCACTAGTAGAAAGTTTAGATTTAACGCTGCCGCAGTGAATGTGTTAAGAACTTACACACGTAACTGTTTGACTAATTGAAAGCTACTAATACCGAATTAGTTAAGTGCACGCCTGATTATGAGCCCATGGTGAGCTCGAAATCAGTCCAGTTACCTCGTCAAGTAGTTATGTGAGTAAGCCTTAGTATGTTTTTCTATAATCATTACATTATCAAAATATAGTGATTGAAACATTGTGATATTCAAAAGTTACTTTTAAGTTGTATAATTGTATATTTTAATATGTATTGGTAGTTTTTTATATTGTTTTTTTGTAACAATTAATAATAAAACAATTTATAAACAATACAAATTTTACTTCCAATTTTAATTTAACACCTTAATCGCCGCTTTGGTCTCAGGCACCGATACCTACCAACGTAATTTTAACAATTGAACTAAAATATTTGAATTAAAGAATAGGTAACTAAAAATTATGAGTTACTCGCGTAAATGTACTGAGAAAAGCTCTACTAGTTTAGAATCACAGAGGGAATCTTCCTCATGAGTAGCGTGCGCGGTTACGGCGATGTCGCACAGCCTACCAGTGGGCTGCTAAACTAGTAGAGCTTTTCTCAGTATATTTATGTGAGTAACTCCTAAATTTTAGTTATTTTAGCTTGTCCCACGATAGTTCTTTCTTGTTTAACAAATTGTCTAACTGGACCTATTGTCTAAGCTGTGTGACAACGGCCTTGTAGAATACTTTTGTCACATACACTCTTCTAGTGGGCCTAACAAGAACCGATTAAGAGACTACCTACTTGATAGAAAGAGCACTGATAAATGTGATCATTTAGGGCCGATTTTTCAATCAGCAGTTATTCTGACTGTAGAATAAAATTGACATATGACATTTTTTGTTTTTACCATGAAAGAATTATTCCTCAGTTAAAATTTATCTGGCGTTGGGTACATTGGCCCTTAGAGCTCGTACACAAAACTACGACGCGATGCGATACGAATTCGCAACACAAAAAACGAAGTACCTCAATAACTTAAAAACAAAGATAATGGAAGTCTGTAGATACTTCAAATAAAACAATGCTGCAAAAACTCCTGAAAGAATAGAAAAGTACTAAAAGAGGTTTAATATTGATTCATAAACAGATAAAAATAAACATTGAGTTAATGAGTTGCCTAAGTCAATAGAGCGCACCCTTCTTGGGAAACATACGGTAAAGATATTTGGGAGCATTGTTCAGTTGGATACAGATCTTTATGGCAATACTAGCTCCTGTTAGTGGCTTTGCCCGAGTTCCCGTGGGATAAAAAGCCTATGCAATTCCAGGTGATAATCTAACTCTGTGCCAAAGGACATTGCTCTGCGTCCATACATTGTGGGCCCTGGAGCTATTAGTATTGGATAATTATGTATTGTATTCCCTATCATATGTATACTACCACATACAAAAGCGAAAACTACCAAATACAAAAGCGCTGCTTGTTCGGTCTCTTGTGCTTCCTGTGATTGATTATGCTGATGTTTGTTACTCTGACCTATCCCAAGACCTTCTTAACAAATTGGATCGAATGCTCAACAATTGTATCCGCTTTATCTTCGGACTTCGTAAGTACGACCATGTCTCTTCCTTTCGCGCTCAGCTTAAATGGCTTCCTATCCGTGAGAGGCGATCCCTTAGATCCCTCTGCATGCTCTTCTCTATTCTAAATGATCCTTGTGCTCCCGAATACCTAAAGTCTGGCTTTCAGATTTTGGGCAGCTCTCACAGCCGAAATCTCCGTTCAGCTGAAAGTTTGCTTCTAGAGATCCCGTCACCACACTTCTTTCGTTGCTAACTCCTTCAGAGTTAGTGTAATTAAATTATGGAATGCACTACCCTATAGTATAAAAATGGCTCCAAACAAAATGGCTTTTAAACGTAGTGTTCGTGAGGTCTATTTAAAGGCGCTACAACGCTGAGTTTGTGTCTTCGTCAATTTATATTATATTATAATTATATATATGAAGTTATTTATGTACATATTTTGTGTTTATTATATATTTTTATACATTATGTTATACAGTATTTATTATTGCTATTAGTTATTTATTTTGTTTCTTTTGCATAATTATTACACAAGCCCATTTTCGCTGAGCTTACTTTTAACCCAAAGGTTGACTGGGAGAAAATGCCATATGGCATTAAGTCCGCCTTATGTACCTTATTTTGTGTGCATTAAAGTGTAAATAAATAAATAAATAAATAAATATACTCCTAGAACTCTGGTTTTATAGCGGACTAGCTGCAGAAAAGATATATTTCAAAAATGTATCAGATTTTGAGATTATAATGTTTTTTAATATATATATTTTTTTATCTTTTAAAAAAACGTTGCCCCACATTAGGATTTTCTCCTGTATCGTGGGTGCGTTTACAAACATATAAGGTCACATTACACAATGACACCCAGACTCGAAACAACAATTTGTGGATCACACAAAGTGTTGTTCCGTGCGGGAATCGAACCCGCGACACGTTGCACGGCAGCCGGTTGCCCAGCCACTGCACCAATCTAACCATAACAACGAATATTTGAACAAATGTTGAATGATTTTACAGAAATAAGGAATTTTTTATTACTGTTTATTCTTACTATTTAAATTGGAGCATTCATAAAGAAAAAAAACACAATCGATCGATTATAATTGATTGGACATCCCCATTTCACTTTCGACGCGGCATGAAATTGGACTTGCTGATTTATTTATTTATTTATTTATTTATTTATTACATTAGGCGATGGCATTTTATATTAGGCGAAGATGGCGATCTAATGTTATTGATTGCGTTAAATTCTATGAAAAATACATAGTCGCAAATTGACAAATTATATAATAATACCTCATTTAATCTCACTCACACGACGAAACACGAAGCAGACAATGTTTCACATCGGTTTCTTGTGAGGCTGTGGTATCAGTCCGGTCGAGACGGCCCATTTGTACCGAAGCATGGCATCCCACAATTTAAAAAAATATACCTAGAAATTATAGACACAGGTTTCATGACGACATTTTCCTTCGCCGTTTGTCAGTGATATCTAAATAAGGAAATAACCTATTTTTTTTTAAAAAAAAAACGTTGCCCCACACTAGGATTTTCTCCTGTGTCGTGGGTGCGTTTACAAACATACAAGTTCACACACACATGACACCCAGACCCGGAACAACAATCCGTGGTTCACACAAAGTGTTGTTCCGTGCGGGAATCGAACCCGCGACACGTTGCACGGCAGCCGGTTGCCCAGCTTCCGCACCAACCGTGCAGGCTATTGGCAGCGAGCTGTATGTAGCGGCTTCCTGCGACCTGTCTCAGGTCGTCTGTCCACCGAGAAGGTCCTGTGCTGCACTTGCAGTGACCACGATTGAACAAAAAGGTTATCCAGTGGAGAATGTGTAATCAGCCGTCGCGGATTCTCCGAGCTATTTGACCAATATACCTTACGTACTGAATTTAAAATTAGGGGCATTTTTTTAATTGACTCTGCTGTACTGTATATTTCCTATCTCTCTTCTCCAGCACGGACGGTGGCAACGAAAGACTAACTACATGGATGGCGCCTTAGCTTTTTTTTTGAGGGGGACATTCATCCAATGCCTTCTCTCGCCCGGATCAGGGCGAGAGCGAGTGGCGCCTTAGCTAATAATCAACCGGCTGCCGTGTGACGTGTAGCGGGTTGGATTCTTTGGTCTTTGTGTGATCTGGTTTTGTGAGATTGTGTAATTGTAAACGCACTCATGACGCAGGAGAAAATCCTAGTTTTAAAACAGAAATATGGACATTTTCTTTGATTAACTCCACTGTGTATTTCCCAACTATATTCTGCAGCATTAATTATTGCTAATATCGACTTATAAGGTTATAAATTATAAATCAGACGAATTGTGAACTTAGTAATTTCTTTTAAAACTTGACCGTTCACTACGGACAGATTTTTTATGGGATAGGCCGGCAAAAGAACAGATGGATCACCTGATGATAAACATCGGCACCACCCACAGACAGTGTGTTGCCGGCTTTTTGGGCCTTTAAGATTAGGAAAGGGGGAAATTGGGCCTCCAGTAACCTCACTCACACACTCACTGACGTGGTTTCATACGGGTTTCCTCTGAGGCCGTGGTATCACTCCGGTTGAGTCGGGCCATTCGATCCGAAGTATTGGTCTCCTACATTTAAAGACATCACACAGATGACGGAACTATGGAAGATAGTATTGAATTGACAAAGGCCTCCCCCTCTCAAACGCTTCATACAATTATTCACAATTATACAATAAGGTAATTTCTTCAATCAACAATAATTAATCATTTCGACTGTTCAATATAATAAAATATTAAAAAATAATCACACTTTAATTAATTGTTTTTTTAATTAGGTAAGTTAAATTTAGTATTTTACCAGATTTTTTTTAAGAAATAAGTATGCTGTTTGATGCTAAAAACCGTGACGTCACAATACACAATCTCGTACAAAATTTAAAGAAAACTGTCGTTTTTGACAGTTCGAAAAAAGTATTGAATTTGACTAGTTGGCAAGTACCCAATTTCGCGAGTTAAGTCGTAAACGAACGATGTTTGTACTCTTATGATCACAGCTTATGGTGATATAACTGTCGCGGAGAACCTAAAGGGTTACCGGGGCTCCGGCTCGACCTGCAGGACAAGGAACGGGGTAGTTTTTATTCAGTAAGAGTCTGACACTCCCTCCCGTCTTACCCAAGCGTGAGCAGCCATTCGATGAATTTCGTCGCTTAAAAAAAAATGGTGATATAACTATTGATATGTATAATGTGTTAGACAGTTGACGCAGTGCCTGTAATCAGCTGCTACGCAATATGTCGCTGGTTTGATTTAGACAAAAAGTTATTGGGGTTTATTCAGTTTTTCGTAAACGCAGTAGAATGGTTCCTGATGCATGCCACAGACTCACCCTCTGTTACTAGGACTAGTGATAAAATCAGTATTACAATATATGTTTTAAGTGTCGGAGAGCCAGGCTTCGGCACGAATGGGCCGGTTCGACCGGAGTGATACCACGGCCTCACAGAAAACCGACGTAAAGCAACGCTTGCGTTGTGTTTCGTCGTGTGAGTGAGGTTACCGGAGGCTCAATTACCCTCCCCTTTCCCAATCTCCCCAATTCCTGAATCCCCAACGATCCTCAAACTCCTAATCCCCAAAAGGCTGGTAACGCACTTGTAACGCCTCTAGTGTTCCAGGTGTCTATGGGCGACGCCGATTGCTTACCATCAGGTGATCCGTCTACTCGTTTACCGGCTTATACCGTAAACAAAATATAATACCTCGTAGAGATAAAACTATGCATGACCTTGTTATATTTTATTTTTAAACTTCATCGTTATTGTTGATCACCATATTTGTTTTATCCGAGTCATAGTATGAACATAAAGCGTTTCAACAAAAAAATTAGGAAATCAATCAGTTTGGTAACTCTAAGTACTTATTGTAAGTGTGGGTTTTTGTGTTTGTTTTTATATTGCGTACCTCAGTCGGAATCTATTCAAGGTATAATCTATACATGAATATGTATGGTACGTATGTAGTACTAACCTTCGTAAATGTGTGTTTGGTATTAATAGACTCTAAACATACAGTAATAAGCATAGTATTAAATTGATTACGATTCTAATAACAAAACATCGGGACCGGGACATCGGCTTTTAGTCAGTAAAAGTCTGACAGTCCCAGTTCGCAGGGAGCGAACTGCGTTTTACACTAATGGTTAAAAAGGTTTTTCAACTCCTGATTACTGGCTTCATCCAAAGGTTGTCTGTAAGAAATCGCATTCTGCGATAAGACCGCCCATTGTACAGTACACATTCTTTTTATGTTTATTTTTCTTTGTATGTTTTTATGGTGTAAAATAAAGTGTGTAAATAAATAAAAAAATAAAAGGATTTAAAAATAAAAAACTTACATTTATAATTCCTAATTTTTTTATTATTAACAAAAAATAAATTCTTAATACAAGTGTTATTATTGCATCTGTTATGGGGGAGTTAGAAAATAATTATTTGGCCCCAACCTATGGGACTAACATAAAACGAAATGCAATAAAATAAAAGAATATAAAAGAAAAAAATACACACAAAAATAAACTTACAATTAAAGGCAAATAAGGGGGTCTTATGCCCACAACTAACGGTTAACCGCTCTGTACCAGCGGACTCAACTGGGCATAGTGTATCAACAATAAGTGCACAGCTTTTGTTTAACAGAAGCATGCTTATCGACTAGTTACCTTATCGTGGGACATACTAAATTAATTAAAAATCGGAAGTTACTCACGTGAATATACTGAGAAAACCTCTACTAGTTACAGCTACATGTAGGCTACGCGACACCGCAGCGACTGCGCACGCTGCTCATGAGGAAGAGCCCCTCTGTGCCTCGAAACTAGTAAAGCTTTTCTCAGTATATTCACGTGAGTAACCCGCGATTTTTAGTTAAAGCTCAAAAATGTTCAAAAATCGAACACTTGACAATTCTGAAATGAGCATGCTAATTTTAAGCCACATTCCGACACACACACACTACTAAATGACAAGTGCTCAAGTCCTCAAATGACGCATGATTTCGTGCGCCAGTACCTTTGTTAATAAAATCGTATATTTATTATAAAGTACAAATACTACTACACTACGTGTTAGCAATTTATTATTTGGTAGGTGATCGTCCACATATAAATTAAGTTCTTAAGTAATTCCTTTGCTGCCATCCTTCGCGTTCGGTCAATTTTAATGCGATGCAGTTGTCCAGAGGTTGGGTCAAGAATGTCTTGGGGTCAAACTCTAACTCTCTTGCCATTCCGTCTGCCAATTCCACTTTGTACTTCTTCAGGAAAGTGATGAGACCTGACAATACTTGCATCTTTGCGAAGCGCATTCCTGTAACAAAGAAAATTAAAATTGTAGTAATCGAATAGCCGGTTGCTACTGAACCAATGACCCTACAAATAAATGCAAAATATGTTTGTCTGTTTATTACTCCTTTACGTCAAAATGACTAAAGGGATCGAGATGAATTTGTTATATGGTCTGAAAGAACACAAAGGCCACGTTTTATTCGACAGGAACGCGGGCCAAGCCGCTAGCAGAAGCTAATTGTACATTAACAATTTGTAGAATTGAACTTCGGTATTAATAAAACAACTCGAACTATAAGCATTTTGTAGAGACATAAACTTAGTATAATGAGTAAGTTGTTACATACCTATACACAGTCTGGGTCCAGATCCGAATGCAAAGAACGTATTAGGGTTAATATGCTCCTTATTTCCAGGCATGAAACGTTCTGGATTGTACTTTTTAGGTTCAGGGAAGTATTCGGGATTGTAGTGCATGTCATACACTGGTATATGGACGCGGACACCTGCGTCTAACTTCAAGCCTGTAGGCAGAACGTAGTCATCCATGACTTCACGGGTCAAGTTGCCTATCACTGGGTACATCCGCAGGGCCTCATACATACAAGCCTCCAAGTAAGGCAGCTCCGTCACACAATCATACACCAGCCTGTTGTTGTGACGACGTAAGAACTCGTCCACCTCCGCAGCAGCCCGTTCCTGCAGCTCTGGGTGTTTTGCTAACTCAAACAAAGTAAAACTCGTGGTAGTCGCCGACGTCTCGAAACCAGCAGAGAAGAACATAACACTCTGCGCAATCAGCACCTCGTCACTTACTTTCAGTTTCACCTTCTTCTCCTCCCCTGTTTTCACATTACTTAAACTATCCCCAACTATATAATCCTCTGTCTTGAAATTCAAGAGCAGATCGACAAAATCATTCCTTGGCGATGGCTTGTAGTTTCGGCTTTCGAAGACACCGGTCAAAAGGTTGGAGAAGAATCTGTCAATAGTCTTAGGGAATAATTTGAATCCGAGACCATAGAAAATGGATGGCCATGCAGCTCTACAAATAATTTTGAAGCCCCGATATTTCGATGACTCGAATATTTCGTTAGCCATGAATTGGAAGGGGTTGTTTTCCTTTTCTGTCATGGTGTGAGCCTCTACTCCAAAAGCACAGGAACATATACTGTCCATTGTGTATTTTGCAACTGCACTTCTTACTTCAACGACATTAGACATTTTAAGTTCTTTGTTTAGCATATCTTCGAAGCCGATTGTACACTTTTCAATCAAATAAAACATATTTTTCATCTTTAGCGAAGAGAAGAGAGGCGTTAGATTTTGTCTCAATACTTTCCAGCGATCCCCTGAACCGAAGAACATGTTTTGAGTCATCACCTCTTGATCATAATAATGGGAAGATTCCCTGCCGCTGACGTAGTAGAAGTCCTTTGTTAACACATGTTTGATGATCTCGGGGTCTTTCACTACTAGGACGGGCAATGTGCCGAAGTAAGCTCCGAAGTAGGGTTCATTCTTAAACTTGTGACACAATTTCTGGACCACTTTTCCCGGGTATTCTTTTTGCAAAATGTAGTCCCCATAATTGCCCAAAATAGGCAATGGGTCTGCGTGTGGCACATTCTTTTTTTTCCAGTAGCTGAGTTTTTTACTCAATATGTAATAAATTAAAGAAAATGTTACGAATAGTAATGACGCGAGAACGATAAGCCCGTTCATTTCGGTTGACGTGTTATTGTCGACTGTTGACACTTCAGACCGGTCGTTGATAAAATGTGCTCAGACTCCACCTACTTATATCTGACTACAATGCAGACATACATATACAGTGTGTTCTTTGTGTGATTTTTTGTCTAACAGTGATAAATGATATACTAAATCAATGTTAGTGGCCTTGTTTAATATTTTTGTATCATATACAATCGTAACTAGTTGATTTGTATTAAATACGTATACACATTGCATCAAGTCCGTTTAAATATATTTAGTGAGCATGTATTAAAACGAAGATTTTTTTTTAATTGTTTTATCCAAATGGGTTATTAGGTCAGTTTTATTTTACACTGCCTAATAGGGATCAAGATAAAATTTTTAGTATTAGCATTTGGAATGCAATAGAAGTATTGCATATTAAATAATCACAACAAAGCGCGACTATTAAAGCGCAAAATACCTCAAGACCTAATCCAATCACAGTAATTATAACTACTGCTTAAATAATGAGGATGTGGCACAGGCTACGTACTGAGCGAGTCTGCATTAGCACAAACTGACATACTTCTGAATGTCCCACGAAGGAGACAGTTTATAGTAAATGAAAAAGAATTAAATAATGTTGTAAAGTGAATAGTGGTGATGATGAATGCAGGTTGAATTATATCTGCAGTGAAAGTTGGTCAAGTAGTCATTTCGGATGATTTTGATATTTCGGAATTTTTTATTGAATAATAAAATAAAATTTGTTTATTGGCATACACAAGTTAGATTACATGTAGACATGGAAGCGAACGGCATTCACATAAATGCAAAAAACTAGGCACAGCCTGTATCTTGGTGGCCCAGACGTAAAGGTTTAGACTATATTCAGAATTTTAATTCGATTCCAGATTTGATATTAGCTACTGTCATTTTGTGAAACAATGATACCACATTAAATACTGTAGTGATGAACACAAAAATCGATAAACAATCAGATAGGCTAGGTATGTTAATTGACAATATCACAGACACATTTATAATAAATGTTACAGAAAGTGACAGCGATAGCGATAGCGAAGACGGCGACAATTTATAAAATAAATTATTACCATAATACATGTGTCTGATTTATTTGTTATGTTCCTTCATGGTCTCATTTTTTTATTTATTTCACACACAATTATAAGAAAAAAACTAGTAGAGCTTTTCTCAGTATATTCACGTGAGTTACCCGCGATTTTTAGTTAATTTTATGCTGTTTTATAATCACCTATTTATAATTATACAATGTCAACCTTATTTATCCCGACTTTATATATGTAGGTACAATTTTCCGAGTTTGTTACGGTTACTGGTATATATTTCTTTTTTATTAGTAACTTTCATTTCATAATAAAACAAAAACAATAAAAATAATAAACGAAATCGTTTTGAACAGTTTTAAAACTAATACAATATTTTTAGTAACATCCTGTAGTTAAAATCAAGCAAGTCATCGTCGATCATCGAATTGAGATTCGGTACCACATAGAGATTATATCATATTTGTTAATAAAACACAATATTACCGATATATATAGTACCTAATCGATAAGATCACGTGCGGAACACATGCTACGCGACTACAAAGAAAGAATTTCTAGTAAAATATTGATAAGATAATTAAACTAATGTACAATCATAATTGGTTGAATTGAATGTTTAGACCGCCTCCTGAGTAGGCGCTTTTTAATTATAGGGTAGGGGCAAATGTACAGATGGATCACCTGATGGTGAATCCGCCAATGGAGATAAAGAATCAGAAGTTGCAAGTGCGTTTTTGGCTTTTTAGGCAGGGGGAGGGGGCTGACATGGTAAGCTACAGTCATTATTTTTTTTAAATTACCATCCGAAGCAAGTCTTAGAAAATTTATGTATGTATATTCACATAGTTTCTGCGCATGTCCACGGGACAAACATATCAGTTAATTGTGTGTGTTCCAATGTTAAATAGGTCGGTTAAATTTTTCCTCAAATTGGGTATTTTCCTGAATCAAAAATAAATTATTTTAATTCCAATTAAATACAATGTATTGAAAAATAATTACAATTTCATATATATATTTGACGATATAAATAATTTTCGATTTATTCTAGCAATTTTTTCAGAAATAATAAGTGCTATTTGGCTCGAAAATATGATGACGTCATAAGTTAGTTTTTGGTACAAAATTCATAGAACAATATCGTTTTTGGCGTTTCGATAAAAGTATTGAATTTGATTAGTTAAACAGCAATTTATTCAAATAAAAACTTAAATAAAATTAAAAATAACTATTACTAAATTAAATATATAAACCTAAGATTAAAATTGATTAAAAGAAAAACAAAAACAACTATTTACATAAAGCATCGATAAATTCAATACTTCAGTCAGTGGGGAAAGTACCAAGAAGGCTGGCAGCATTGCCACGTTGTATGGCAATGCTTAACCTCTGACCGACAAAAAGACCAGCCCTCTGATCACGAGATTAGTTAATTGTAAAATACCGTATTGGTACCAGATTACCCGAATACTGAAACGCCACTTAGATTTAAGTTGCGTTTAAGTGTAGTTCTTTGTAAAATGACAGAGTTGCCATGATATTTAAATACAGACCTAAAATTAAGTAATATTTTCTTATTCGGGCGTAAATCTAGTTTTATTAAGGCGGCTGATAGTTTTGAGCCTTTTTTGATACTAAAAAGATGATTCAGACAAAAGATATTATGAAGGTGACTTTGACGAGTCATGCTTCGGCACGAATGGGCCGGCTCGACCGGAGTGTCACGGCCTCACAGAAAACCGACGTGAAGCAACCCTTGCGTTGTGTTTCGTCGTGTGAGTGAGGTTACCGAAGGCCCAATTACCCTCCTCTTCCCCAATCTCCCCAATTCCTGAATCCCCAAGGATCCTTAAACTTCTAATCCCCAAAAGGCCAGTAACGCACTTTTAACACCTCTGGTGTTCCAGGTGTCCATGAGCGTCGCCGATTGCTTACCATCAGGTGATCCGTCTGCTCGTTTACCGGCTCAAGCCATAAAAAAAATTTAAATTAGAATGAAGCTAATGAGTAATGCAGTGACATATACGTTCATGTGAATTAAGTACTTAAGTTTCCTACATTTAGCGCTTGTTTCACCACTTTCATAAAGTACCCCATAAAGTTATGTGACAGGTAGCTCATATAAAATTATTTTCTTAATTTTTTAAGTACTTGGTACATAGAGGCTACAGTGACATTGTGAAATAGGGCCTAAGTAGTTTGATAAAAATCTTACAGACTCTTACTGACTAAATACCACCCCGTTGTAGGCTCCGGCTCGTAGTGCAGGAGTAGTCCTGCACTACGAGCCGGAGCCTCGGTAACCCGTTAAGTCTTCCGCGGCTCCATATCGGCATCAGCCCTATTGGGCCCCATCTGTGGTGGTCTGATGGTTATAGGAAATGTACCTATCGACTAATAACGACCAGGCGAATGTGGTTAGAATGCTCTTTTCAAAGTCAAAGCATTTATTTTAATTAAACCATAATTTGGTACTTTTGAAACGTTAACAGATACAAAATAAATAATAGCCTGTCAGTCAGTCCGTCTGCGAAGCTAGGTGCTCATTCCAAAATATAGATTCGAATAGAAAAGAACGAGCCAAAAACTCCTTTCGATGCTCTTTTTAAAAAAAATATGTTCTACTTTCATGACTATCATTTGTTAATATAGTGGCTTGTTTTAATTCTGTTATTCTGAGCGACTAGTTATAAGAAAAACGGTAGTTATAAGAAAAAACCAAAACATGTGATACAGTTTTTTTTCTATGGGGGGAAATGTGATACGCCGTTGGATGGAGTTTCTTAAATGAAACAATAGTTGCCTATGGTCAAATGTATCTTTGGAGGTATGACGTCCTACCTAAAGTTATTGCAATCTGAAACATATAGGCACTATATGTGTCTGTAAGTCTTAGTGTGGGGCAACGTTTATATTAAACTAGCTTCTGCCCGCGACTTCGTACGCGTAATCCCATTTTCCCCGTCGCCGTTCGTGATTTTCGGTAAAAAGTAAAAAAAGTATCCTATGTCGGTCTTCTAGCTTTAAGCTACCTCCCTACCAATTTTCAGCCATATCTATTCTGCCATTCTTGAGTTATAAGTGGTGTAACTAACACGACTTTCTTTTATATATATAGATATAAATTCTTAATATAAGTGTTATTATTGCATATGTTACGGGGGAGATAGAAAAGAATTATTTGGCCTCAACCTCTGGGACTAACATAAAACAAAATGCAATAAAATATAAGAGTATAAAAGAAAAAATACACACAAAAATAAACTTACAATTAAAGGCAAATAAGGGGGTCTTATGCCCATAGCTAACGGTTAACCGCTCTGTACCAGCGAGCCAGTAATACTTTGTCCGACCCGGGAAACGAACCCGAGGGGCAGTTGCACTTGCGACCACTCGGGCAACGAGGCATGCTTAACATAGCATGTTAAAAAGCATTCTATTGAGCATGCTTAAAAATAATTTTATAATAACAATCGTGGGACATATTAAATTAATTAAAACTCGGAAGTTACTCACGTGAATATACTGAGAAAAACTCTAGGTACTAGCTACATCTATATGTAGGCTGCGCGACATCACAGCAACTGCGCACGCTGCTCATTTATTTAATTATTTATTTATACAATGAGGACGAGCCCCTCTGTGGCTCGAAACTAGTAAAGCTTTTCTCAGTATATTCACGTGAGTAACCCGCGATTTTTAGTTAAAGCTCAAAAATGTTCAAAAATCGAACACTTGACAATTCTGAAATGAGCATGCTAATTTTAAGCCACATTCCGACACACACGCTCCTAAGTGATGAACTCAAGTCCTTAATGATTTCGTGCGCCAGTACCTTTGTTAATAAAATCGTATACTTATTATAAACTACAAACGTGTTAGCAATTTATTATTTGGTAGATTATCGTCCACATACAAATTAAGTTCTTAAGTAAT